GTCTCACGCCCCCTAGACTTACGCCAGACGCTACATACCACCCACCCCGCCTGGACGTCGTAACGCCAGGACAGAGTGCACCCCTTCGCTAAGAGCGCTACCCGCCCGTCCAACACGTTGCATCCAACGGTGTCAGATTTGCGGACGCCCATAGTATAGACAAAAGGACTACAGTTTAGAATATGGTAACATATTTTCATATGTTCCGTATTCTAAAGCTGCGCCTGCAAAGGCCTAGTAATGCATGGGTATATCTCCCAGAGATGGTGTTCACGGTCTTATGCCGCGGAATCCTTATAACTAATTTGATTAATTAAATAATACATAGGATTGAGTTTAAAAACCAAAAGGATTCCCACCGAATACTAGTCAGTGCATCGTCATATTTACTCTCGCGTCGAAAATTTCTCGCAACACTAATTTAATAATGGCAAAACTCTAATAAAAAGGAATTTAATGTCAAAATTGAATTTGATATTTTATTAAAAGCAAAATGACTAATTAAAAATTCTTTACAATGAAAAAAGAATATATTGTAAAAATTAATAAAAAATTAAAACATCCTCGGGCGACTCCCTCCTCAGAGTAACTTTTCAAGAATACGCAAAATGTGTTGAAATAGATCACTCTGACTTGGAAGTCTACCCGTCACGAATTGTCTTCTTGCACATAAATTGTTCATTTTTTCATGAACGTGTAAATAAGTTAAACTACTTGGAAAAAATTCTCAAATTATATTTGAATTTATAATGTACAAAATGTAATTAAATCAATGTAATAACATCATTAATATGTATATCCAGTATACATATTACATAATACTATCAATATTATATTGCTTTGAACCATCGCAATAACTAACTCAGATAGTATTTGACTTCTCTATTACAGACAAACTAAATAAAATTGTTTCGGTATTAAAATATTCTAATTCCACAGTTAAGAATATTTAAGAGCATTCATATATTTCAAAAATATCTATTAGAATATGTGGAATTGAAATGATATTAAAACGCGGAGTACAAGAAGATCTAGCCTAACTAAATGAAATGAAACAATAAAAATTTTACTACTCATGGGTATGTATAATCATACCCATGGTCACTGTGCTTGCCAAGCACGTATACAACTGGTAGTCCGTGTCGATTCGGACCATTCGTCCTACGACATGATTGGGCACCAGAGGAACCATAAAACATGCGACTCACCGTTCGCAGATATACTCTTCTTCCGACAGTCAAGTAGGAGGATGGACAACACCAGGTAGTCCGTGAAGAAATTCATCTGTAACAAAAAAAGAAGAATTACGGTTAATTTTGAAAATTATAAATTTTTATTCTAATAAAATTATATATGAAATTGAATTTTATAAAATATTAGCAATTAAAAAGAAATCCCAATTATCAAGTGTTGAAATTGTAAATTATTCTATTTTAATAAAAAGCAATTAAGTGACGTACCAAGACGGAAGTCGTGAAGAAAGCCATCATCAGGATATCCAGGAACTCGGCAATCAAAAAATTCATCTGTAACAAAACGAAAAAGAATTACGGTTAATTTTGCAAATTATTAATTTTTATTCTAATAAAATTATATATGAAATTATATTTTATAAAATATTAGCAATAGCAATTAAGAACTTTCAATTATCAAGTATTGAAATTATAAATTATTCTATTTCAATTAAAATTAATTAAATAAAGTAATAAGATACTTACACTCTTTCCTTATGGAGCATCGCCCAAAACTCCTCTTCAGTGGTGCTTTGACTCTAATCCCGAATATATCGAGCAATTAAAAAAAAATTAAAAATAAAAATAGTAACGCGACCGTGAATAATTTCCGGCGAACAATTGTAAAGACTCTACTTTCACGATGGAAAAAGAAAAATCAGAGCCGCGATGCTCTAGAAAATATTTTATTATACGCAGCAAACACTGACTCTACTTTCGCGTGATTCCTAATTGAACAAACGCAACTCTATTCAGGGCCAGTTCACCCTTGTCAAAATCAAAACATTGTAAGTACGTGCAAACACTGACTCTACCGACCGCCTTGCGCGCGGCCACAACAATTCCTGGAAGAAAAGCTTAGTGAGCAGGGATGGGCTGGGTGGAAATATACAAAAAAAAGAAAACATTCTTCCTATTAAGCATTCGTTAAAGAAATACTGTTATGTGTAAATGGAAATATCAGTGTTCGTGAAATATTTTCAACGAACACGAATATTATTTGAGTTGAATATGGATCCTAGATAACATCATAATAACGAAATGTATTAAATAATTGTTGATAATTATTCCAATGAATATTACAAGGATAAAAAATCATTGTTAAATACATATAATAAACTATTTTATTAAAGCAGTGGATTTTTGTTGTTAAAATTGTAAGCATATTAAAATTTGTTGGAAATTCTATTACGTAGTAATTTATAAATTATCTAATTCTTTTCAATAAGCAAAATCCAATAATTAATCATGCTTAAACAGCATGTGATTTAAAAACGTGATTCTATTTTAATTGTAACTTGCATCGAAAACTGGATATTATAATATAATTACTACGATTTAACAAAAATAGATTGTTTAAAATAATTAATAATTGCAGAAGAGAAGCAATCATTTGCAGCAGAATACGAATCATTTCAATTTTGTTCTAGTTTAAAACAAATGTATTAAAATACTGGACGAAATTATTTAATAAAATGAAAAATTAATTATTCTTTTTCTATGAATTGGTTAAAGAAAAATAATGTCTCTAATCTTTTCTTTCTTGACTTTGGTAGCAAGTAATTATCAAAAATGCTTACAATTAACGACTCAATAAAAGACAAGTAATAATAAATGTTAATAGTTGATTAGAATAAATTAAAACAATAAATTCTTACGAAATTCTATTTCAAACCCATATCATGGCGTCCTTTCAATGTCCATCAAATATCTGTAACAAAAAAATAATACGAATTTATGTACATAAAATGTAATCGACAATAATAAACGATCGAACTATAATTTATGCAAAATATTTTAATAGATACAATGCTCACTTATTACTTATACGGAAGGAAGCTCTCAACACGTCTTGTCACTTCGACGTTCGCGAGAGAAATGGCGAGACCTTCCTTCCCGACGAAGACCGGTCGGCACCGCTTCGGTATTATTCGGTAATGTTCGTCCCCAGCCGAACCGAAGCCGGTAGACGAACAGATCTCATAATATTACGATGCTCAAGAAAGAACGTTATTAAATATCAAACAGTAAATTGTGTGAAAGAATATTAAAAACGTTCAATATTGGTTAGGAAATTAACGATATAAAAGGGAAAGTGATTCAAATTCTGCTGTTCCAACCTCATTGTACAATCGCGACAAGAACACAATTTTCAACTCTTGTATTTTTAAAGATCATCTCGAATTAATGTCAAAAATCAGGAATCTAGACTTCTCTCCAGCTATTCTTTCTATTTTTTGTACTTTTAACACCCGAAAGACAATTCAATTTAATGTTTGAAGATAATTTAATCTTACCTGTTGCAGACGCGTGGAGAGTAGACGAAGCTTCGAAGAGGAATGCTGCACTGCGCCACAAATCGACGCACTCGCTCACACAACGACGTGTCTGATTGGTCGAAATGAGAGGACGCCAACATGGGACGACCAATCACAGCCATCGATAGAAGTTTCAAAGTGCTTCGAAACTTTAATACTAATCGTAAGGGAAAGGTTCGTTAAAAATTATCGACGCCATATTGAAATAAAATCAAGATTACTTTTCTCAACTTTAAACACCAAAATATAAGAAAGAAAGTAGAAAAAATATAAGATATTGACGGGATTTAAGAAATTATTGATATAAAAGCAGAATAAATGAAGGAAATATTATCTTAATTCGTATCTATATCGGCGTAATAGTAAAATTATCACGATATATAACAATAAATTACGGGACAAATGTACCAAAAACATGAAAAAATGCAATAATATTCGAAAAATTATTGATATAAAGGGAAAATAATTCAGATTCTGTTCTTCCAACTTCGTTGTCAATTCACCGCAAGAGCAAAAAATTTCAACTCACGTACTTTTAAAGATAACCTCGAATTAATGTCAAAAAACAAAGAGCCAGACTTCTCTTCGGCTATTCTTTCTCTTTTTTGTATTTTCGATACCCGAAAGACAATTTAATTTAACATTTGAAGATAATTTAATCTTACCTGTTGCAGACACGTGCAAGCCGAACGAAGCTTCGAAGAGGAATGCTGTACTGCGTCACAAATCGACGCACTCGTTCACACAGCGACGTGTCTGATTGGTCGAAATGAAAGGATGCCGAATGAAACAACCAATCACAGCCATTGGTAGAAGTTTCGAAACTGTAATGTTAATCGTAATGGTATAGTTCATATAATAAATATCAGCGAAAAAATTGAATAATGTACTTTTTTTAGCAACACCCGTCTTGCATTATATTTTATATTATTGTAATTATGTAATAAATAAAGGGGCATATCCTATGGCGTGATTTTGATACGAAATATTTAAGAACATATTATTTCAGATATAAATTTTGACACTTATGTGCAATGTATGCATAAGCAAAATGTTAATATGTACAAAAATTATAATCAATCGATTCGGTCGACGCACACATATTCACATATACGAGCTGCGCCCTACAGAAATAACAAGGAACTAAATTTGTGGTCTGTTTTACCTTTTTGACGTCTTTCGCGAGTGAAAAATCAACGAAATCGTAGAACACACTATTTTTCTAAACGAAAGCTTGTACACCATCCCCTGAGTGCTCGTTTTGCTCTATCCGATCCAAAGAATGGCGCGCTGGTCTCTATTTGGACATTCGACTCACAAAAATGTTTATATTACGAATACTGCCATTTTCTTGAGCGTTGACAGACAGCAATTTCAATATTTTATAACTTTTTGACGGTAGGGTGCCGTTAGTTGGATACAATAACTGAGGTGGCGCTGAAATCACTTTCTGTTCGGCCTAATTTTCAATGCAACGTTGACTGTTTTACCGAACCAGAATTTGAAGTTCGGCCTCAACGCTCGCATCACTTTAACTTGAAAATTTTACATTTTTAATAATGACTGATGATGTAAAATTTTTTGTAAGACCAAAAGTTAGATTTTGTCAAACTGACACCAACGAACCGGTAGCGAGAGAATCAAAACTTTCTATAGATCAGAAAAGTGCTACACGGTCGAATAAACCAAGGATTAGAAGTATTGTGACACTTAAGAAACCCATTAAAATATTGAAACTTAACAAAACATGTGATGATCACGAAGATGACAATTTAAAAAGTATTGATAATCCACAAAAAACTGACTCACTAACTGTGTGCACTGATATACCTCTTTGTACAGCTGACGAAAATCCTCTTGAAATAGAAAATCAGAAACCTTTAACTGATAATGAAAATATTAAAAATATTAAAGCAAATTCTGAAGATATTGAGCAAAAAATTTGCAACAAACCTTCACACGATGACAGAGTATCTTCTCCACTATCTTTTAATATAAAAAATAAAAATTTAAACAGACCTCTCAAGTCACAAAGTTATATTAAAGCTAATACTTCAAAGAAATCTGTAAAAAGTAAGAAAGGAAAGGAAAATGAAACACTGGATGCCATAAAGAATAAGACTGTAACTAATAGATTTACACCTTTAGAAATTACAAAGTATAAAGTTAAACCTTGCTCTATTGGAACTAACACAAGAAAGGCAACTGTTGCAAGTAAATTTTCAGTTCCATCCAAAAGAAATTTAACTTCAAAGTCAAATGTTATGCCCTGTCATAAATACCTTAAAATTGCATCCAAAGTTAAGGCCTCCCCTGTCAAAAAGACTGTGATCCGTGATATAACTGGGCCCAAAATAAAGTCTTGCATTGGTCCAGGGGTATCTCATAAAAAGCAAAATGATTTGAAGATTCCAGAAAGCGGTGAAAGTACTTCTATAAAATTAAGTATTTCTGGGGAAAAATTAGCAAGACCAGAATACAATTCAATCACGTGTACAATCAATAAATTAAATGAAATGAAGAAGCAAAAGGTTGTGAATGATATTGAACATTTACCACCATCATACAAACATTTTATAAATGGAAAGGTATTAAAACAAGAAAAAATATTTTCACATAGTATTAGAAAATGCATTGTTACACATTCCCTTTTTATTTTTTTTTCTAGATTTCTACTGCCTTGGATTTCCCTCTTGATGAAGCCATTTATAAAGATTTAGTAGATTTATCTGTAGATGAAAAACAATTACCAGGTAGACTGATTCGAAGTAAAGATCCAGAACCAAGACAAAAAGATGCTGTGCCAGTACTATCTGACTTTTTTATACCTGTACTCACAGAAGAATACTGCACTTCTATTTCCAGTAAACCACGAACTCCAGAGACGACTGAAACTTGGAACGCTTTTAGAATAAGTGATAAAATATTCGAATGGAAATATCTTTTGGATCATGTATAATACACCTGTAATTTTTTTATTTGTATCTAAGTTTGTTGATCAGTATTTGAAAAACACTTTGGTAGATGTATCTTTTTTTTGTAAAATACGATTTATATTAATACTTATTAAATAAATTATCTAATAGACATTTTGTGTATGTTTATGTGAAAATCTGAAACGTGATATAAATCAATATGTACAGAAGAAGCGTCTTATTCGTCAATGTGAATATGACATTATTTTATAAAGCACTGACTTTAGGGTTACCATGAAATATCGAGCTGAAAAACAACGATTGTATTCTTGTAAAAGAATACAATAATCAAAGCTAAGCTGGATTTACAGAATTAATTTACAATTTTATGCGTATGATAATAACGTTTATGGTGTCTTTTTTACAAAGCTACTACTTATCCGTGGACTTAATAATTGAAATAGCTGGATATAATAAATTTAGTTTATCTACCAAAGGGATTCAAGTTTTTGTTATAATCATCCTCATCGTCCTTAAATGGATTTTTATCGTCATCGTAGTCGTTGGCTTCAGAAAATGGATTCTTTGATTCATCATAATCATCCGCTTCGAACGGATTGGATGGAGTGATTGGTGTTTTTGGTGGTACAAAGGACTTCTGAATCGGTGATGATTTCGGCGTGTTATTTAAAATACGAGCCTCCCGTATAGGCACTGGCGATGCTTTCCTTGAATTTCCTCGAGGAGTAGATATACCACTACCTGTGCCAGAAATATTTGCTTCTAACGACGAAGAGTAAAGATCCGATTTTGGGAAAGAACGCAAACGATCATCTACTGCTGTAGAAATATATTCATAGAAACTAAGGGTTTCAATGTTTCATAAAAAAATAAACTTGTAATAACAAATTAAAATAAATGTATCTTTAACAAAACTATCTTTACCTAGTGTTGTATTTTTTCCCTCTGTTAATCTAATTCTGGCCTCTGCTCCTGGGCCATAGTTTAATTTTGGTTCCTCGAATTTCGTCGATGCTGTAGACAATGATTTGTCGGTATCAGTGATCACCATTAACTTTTTAAACACTCCCCGTCCGAAATAATCGGCAACTAATGAAAATGGATCTTCTGCTCGATCAAGAAGACTGTGAAATGTTTCGTGAAGATCTCTCGACTGTTCTTGAGCCCTTATAATATCCAATAACTTTTTATTATTTGGCAAACAGGCAGGACATTCATTTTCGTTTTCCGAGAAACTTTGGAAACAACTGAAATGGCAATACAATAATATGATATAAAATATCTTTATAAACATAATTGCGTCTATGTACAATGTGAACTTACTGTTGATGGTACGAATGTTGACACATAAAGTGTACTGATGGCAATTCTAATTGATCACGACACGCACTGCAACGCGATCCTTGAAAGATTATTGTGTTATTTTTAATCGATTCTATTTGCTGTCGTATTTTTTGAGTGTCTGCTCGATACTTCTCAGTTAATTCTATGTCTGCCTGTGTCTGTTCGTGCTCTGTTCGCAGTACGCTGTTTAAATAAGTTTTTACATCTCCCATGGTACAAGAAAGTGAAGTTGAAATTGCGTCAATGACCATTAGTGGCGATAAAAGTCTCTCTTGTGCTATGAATGTGTTTCTTTCTTAAAGCAATGTATAAAAAAAAAAAGTAAAGAGAAAATTAGATTGAATTTTAAATGTACCTATGTAGGCCAATATATCTGCAAGAAGTTTAGTCGGCGCTTCTTTGTTTCTTGCAACACTCCACAATGCCTGTACCCATAGATTTGGATCCTGATGGCCAAATCGTTTGCAAGTAGCCAAAACTTGCTCGCTGTCTCCTTCTCGTAAATGAAATCGCAATATTTCCTGGTATCTATTGAGAACATAATATAAATCATAAGATTTCTAAATATAATATTGACTGCATAAATTACTTAATGAACATACAGTTTACTTTCTTCGTAAAGAAAGAGCAAACCGCGCCTAAAGCTATGCTGATGGCATAAAATTAATATCTGGTCTTTATCATAACACGCTTCCGAACTTTGCAACAGACGTATAATCTTCTGTTCATATTGCACTTTAGCTACATCATTATCTAAGGCTGACCAGACATGGAGATAATGTTCTACCAATGTATTATATACCAGAGTACTCCACCTATATATAAACACATTCAAGTTATAAAATATAAATTACAGATATATACTTTTCTTAAAGACCAGTACTAACACACTAACTTGGTATCTGTTTTTACTAGATGTTCTAAGAATTCCACTAAACGTTCTGAATTATTTAAAAACAGGTGAATGAAGTCTTCTGGATTAGCTTTATCAATATGTTGGTCCACGGTACCATCTAACGCTTCCTGGATTAAGTACAGATTATTTAAATTAATTTAATCACGATCAATACAACTCCGGCATCTATTAATTATTCAATTTTACCTGATCAACGAGCGGTTTATTCGAAGGCCTATAATTGGTACATAAGGTCTTTAAAAATTGCGTAGATTCATTTGGCACGTTTTCTATGAGAATATTACCATATTTCTTCATATTAGACTCCGCCTAAAAAATGATTTAAAATTAATTTCATACATAGAATTTTGAAATTAGATAAACATACTTCTTCAAATTCTAAAGTTGCCATGTATTCTAACGCTTTTTTATACTCGTGCTTATCTTCTATTTGAATGCGAAGATACCATTCGTGGCGACCATGCTTTTGTGCAAGAAGTAAGGCATCTTCCGGTGATGCTTGACGACAAACTTTTATCGCAATTTCAACGTCGAAATCGACCTCCCTGTCTTTCGTCTAAAATTGTCAATTAAAATATGTAAATATATTTATTATTTAATAATTTATAATAGGTGGAACTAGAGCTTCTTTACCATGATAAATTCCTTTAATTTATCCGTATGATTCAGCTTTGTATAACAATTTAGTAACAAAGTAGTATGATCTTCCGTTGCTTGTCCGTTTTTATGCAAGGCTTGCAGATAAGTTGTTAAATTATCGATGTGCTGAGAATCTAAGAATTTTCTGATCACGTACGAAGGTTCCAATTTCCCAATAGTTTTTATATACTGCTCTATCGCTCCGTTATGATCACCTTTCGAGTATAAATGATCACCGTATTGTCGAAATATATCGACAAGGCCTTCAGCATCGTACTGCTGATTTTTAGCTATCCTGAAAATGGTATAGCGCTAAGCAATAGTTCTATAACAATCGTTATTTATCAGTTACCTGATAGACACGTCATATAAATTCTTTTTGAAAAGTAATGCTAATTTTGATTGCAAGTCTTTTTCATCCAGGTGGTACAGTTTACTGTCACCGCTGAGTATAAAAAATCCTCCCCATTCAGATAAAACTGCCTGCACGGATAACATTGGTGCAGAGAAAACAGTGAACTTGTTATGTATATCCAGTACTGTGATCATATGTTTATCTACTCCTGGAGGTATTGGTTCTATAGTACTATAAATAAAGAAATGATGAAAGCATATGTACTCTTAACAGAAGAAATTTCAGTACAAAATTCTTGCCTAGGTTTTGCAGAAATGGTGGTTGTGGTTCTTGGAACATCAGCACCTTCTTTTGCTATGATAACTAAATAACTTCTAAACCACTCTAACATTATCTTCTGACCTCCTACTGCATAACAAGGGCCTTTACCATCTGGTGTATAACAATAGATTGCCTAAAACAATGGATATTTAGTAAGAAACATGCATTCAATCTTATGGTGAAATCTTATTAGGATTATTACTTTATCATGGCCAATCATGAAGTGACTATCTTGCATAGTCTCTGCAAGAACACTACACTTTCTAGCACAACCCATAATATCCAAAGGTGACTTAAATTCTTTATCCTTAATAGTAATATTATAAAGGAAAACACTATTTGGTGTAGCAACAAATAAATGAGTTTGTTTACTTGTGGATCTTATTGCTAAACCAGTAATAGAAAGATTTGTGTCTTTCAACACCTTTATTTTATTCTTTCTTTCTCTAGTCAAATCACCCCTAAAAATCAAAACTTATATGTGATAAATTGTATTAATACAAAGGATGATTGTTATTCAATTTATATCTACCTATAAAGCATAATTGAGCCATCCCCAAAGCCAATGGCCATTAAAGTAAGACATGTGTGTACACACAATGCAGTTGCAGGAACAGCTCTGTAACTAGGTATGGCTCTACTTATTCTGACACATGTTGGATTTCCTTGTTTGTCTGGTTTAGCTACATTCCAGACCTTTATTGTAGGATTACAACCTGGTTCATCTTCCTAAACATAAATGTTTTATACCAATAATAAACAGCTTTGAAACGAGCTCATATTAATTTTAATTATTAATTAAAATTACGCTTACACCAATGGTAAACAGATACGTGGAATGTTGAACTTGTTGAGCTAAGGTTAACGTGATTTCGTAAGCACGAAAAGTGGTAACGTCGTAGGTCCTGTTCACTAAATGCACATTGCCCGTGTTATCTCCGAAAACTAAGTTCCCATTACCGCTCGTCGCTGCAGTAACTTGAGCCTCCTAACAGAGTACGAGGTTTGTAACGAATACGAAACTGAATCTACAATATCTTCTCGGAAAGAAATGAATTAAAATTCGGAACAACTTACGCCAAGTGCTTTAGCAATTTTCCCGCCATCGACTTCTTTCTTAAGATCGAAAAAATTGAAGCGTCTCCACTGAAAAGTAAATATTTTTCACTGTCAGCATGTAGAATGTAAGGTTAAGAAGGAGTCACAAAGCACCCCATACTAAACGATACATTAAAACGCGACACTAACCTCGAGAAATGCCATCACGTATTACGAGCTAATTATGTACACATTTGCAAAAAATATTGTTGATGCTGTAAACGAACAGCAAGCTCGAGCTTTTTTGACAGTTATCTGACAACGGGATTAATCAGACGTACGCTCGCCATCTTTGTCCGCCTACATACGATCAGCTGTTTCTGACATCTCTTGAGTCGTACGCAAGCGCCGAGTATTTTCCTACTATACCGACAGCGCCCAATTGAGGTACACAAGTTTCCCGCAAATCTTCAGAGATGTCGCTATAAAATAATCGAAAATCAATACGTCATCTATCGAAGAATCAAATTTGATTTTCTGCCGCGTTTTATTATTATTCCTATACATTGATTAATATTAATATCTACAAAATAAATGGATCTTTATTCATTTCTAAAAGTACCTTTAAACAAAAAGAATAAGAAAATGTTTAACGTGAACTTTTTTTAAAATATACAGAAAACAAATTTAAAGTAAATTTTCTTTTATCGCTTTCAAATTAATGTTGAATATAGAACTAAAATACAATTATAAAAGCAATTTGAACGAAAATATTTTGGCAAGGAATCACGAAACACTCTGCGAACACAGAATGCCAAGGCAGTGTATGCAAAATTTTTATATAATTATAATAAAATCTTTTTTGTGTGTTAACTGCGATGACTTTCTGGATCGTTGTTCTTAATTAGTAAGACGTAAGTTCTGTTATATTTGTTAAAAAGGACGAACAGTTAGTGTCGATGATGGGCCGGGATCTGTTTTACAAGGTCTGTTTGTGCGCGATACGCAGGGAATTAAGAAGAAATGGTCGCGAGAATTTCTGCAAGTCGATTATGAATACACAACACCAGTCCCGATTTTTGCGATTCAATCGAGAACCAAGAACGACTCGTTAAATTCAATATAATTCCATGAATCACCCTTTTTCGTTCTCGATCGGCATTCGCGGATCAAAATTCATACAAAAGATCGCTTCTGGAGGAAGCTTGCGGTTTCTGTACGAATTTCGATCGTTTCGCGAGGATCACAAGCTTTCGTTTATCATCGTCTTCTCTTTTTGTACCGTTCTCGTGCTCGCGTTTGAAAGAAAACGAAAAACGCACCATTTTTTCTACGATCGTTTCTCTAATCGTCGCTTCGTTGTATCCATGAATTAACACGTTTGGCGGTCTTTCTCTTATCAATACATTGTCCTCTTTAAATGAATCGTTGAGTTTCTATGATTTGAATTAAAAATTTTGCATTCATTTTAATCCTTGAAAAGCGGAGCCTGGGTCAATCGAGATCCAAACTTACAAAACATACACCAGAACATTAACCTGAAGTTAAATCTATAATTTTTAAACGAGAGTTTCAGATATTGGAAGAATATTTTAGAAGCAGTATAAAATTTAGAAAATGAAATACAAAATTAAATTGAAATTTCGGGGCTCTCTTCACGGTCCGCCGTTCGAGGGTTAAAATCCAAAGAATGAACATTATTATCACTAGAACGTAAATAAATTGTTTTTATTCGTTTGTTACCACTGTAAGACGTTACAAACGTCCCATTGATCGAAATTAATTTTCAAAAGCCTCTATCGAATAAAATGTACAATTTGTAAAATGTTCGTTCATAACACATTACAGCAGTAGCACAGAACCGTCAATCGTTTCCTCTGTCCTATTTTCCTCTTCATCCTTAAAATCTCTGATGCGGTCTTCTCGATATCGGCAAGGGATTAGGAAACATGATTTTCATCAACATTCTTTCACCACTTTATTTAAAGGGTCTCGGGCGAGGGACGATCGGTAGCGCGAAAAATGTGATCTTCCTTTTCTTTTTAAATTTTTTTTTTTTTTTACAGACGTAGCACGTCGGTACTTACTCTAGAAACTATTTTAAACTGCGTGTACATGTGTGTGTACGTGTGTGTGTCTGTGTATGCATCTTAAAATCGTTCTCGAATATACAGATTGTGAAAACGATGATCTCTACTCAATTATCTCTTTCTCTCTTTTTCTCTCTCTCTCTCTCTCTCTCGCTCATCGTTTCTTTCTTATCAAACATTTAATTTATATATATATATATAATATATCTATATCATATATCTATATGTATACTTTACAAACAGGAAACGATTAGACGCTAGGGCATCGCGATTGGCCCGAAAAAAGTCACCGAGTATTCCTTTTCCAATCGAGAATGGACCGGACAGAGGACGTACGTTTTTCTTCTTTTTGTCTTCTCTTTATCCATCGAGAAACATTGTATTTTTTTTGGGGGGGGGGGGAGGAAAATTTTGTCCTCGTAATGAAGCTTCGTCGCGACGAAAGCGTGTCTCAATGTTCGAAAAGGGATACTCGACGATGCGCGCGGCTTAAGGATGCACTTTTTTGTAAAATACAGTAATATCCGGCGCGCTTTCTACCGTAAGTATCATATATATATATATATGTTTATATCCGTTTTAGAGATTTGTTTATTCTTCGTATTTGCAGCGAGTGTTGCACCGTCTTCTCTTTTTGTTCTTCGTAAATTTTATACAATAAAATATCACAGTTCTGTTCGTACCACGCAATATAATTAATAATATATATATATATATATATATTGTTTACCTTAACACGTTGTCTACATCTTTCATTCCCTTTCATCAATTCGCACTCGTGCTTTCTTTTTCAATCTCCTCGTTTAAGTATTCATTCATGCTCATTCATGGTTATACAACGAATGGTGCTCGAATAAAAATTCATGGTTCGATTTAACGCTCGAATCGGATGAAACGAAAAGCGAGAAAATTGTGGAACGAAAATTGATGTATGCCGATTTTTCGAACGAACAATCCTTTCGTATCATAATTTTTATACCGTTTTTGCTGTTAATTGTTCGATCAAAGGCAAAGAAAAATGGGTAAACGGACTTTCTACTTTCATCATCGTACTGAAGATTAATGATTCCTACTGACTTTCTTATCGTATACGATGTTAGCAATTAACAATTTCGCGTAGAAAAACGAATTGATCAAGAAAACGTATCTATTTTTTGTTTGCCTTTATTTCGTTGCCAGAAATTAAACGATTTCTCAAAGGAACCGATTACAAGCGAGGAGCGATTGGATCGTTGATTCATTACAAAAATTGACTAATTAATTTTTAATCGTTTGTGCGAATAAGAGAAAAATAAATACTTCACTCGTTTCGCGTGGTCACTTTTAATCAACGGTATTTAATGAAAAATAAAATAGAAACTCTTAATTTTTTCCCTGAAACTTTATCAAATTCTATTAAAGTATTACTATATAATCTAAAATCGTGTACACTTGCGATCAAATGAGGCTTCTTCAAAAAAAATGGTGATGTCACAGGTTCGTCTTATCATATCCTCCTCCTTGGGCCTCCAGGAGGAGACTGACAGTGGAAGGGAGAAGACCTCATATATATAGCCCTGTAGCCACTCGCGTACAAACATTCGCGCGGGAAAATTTGAATTACTACTATATCTGTTATTGGTACTTTACAATTATATACTAAATTTTATAATATTTAATAACTGAAAATTGTATTATTTTCTTTTCTAAATTACTTTTAATATTAATATTGTATTTTGAGAGTTCCTTCTTTGATCGCGAGTGTACGTTTTACAACTTTGCAACTACGAAAGATCGAATAACAATTACAAAATTTCTCGTTAGTTCTACGAACTACTAAAACCAAAGGATTCAACGAAGAATTAACGCTTGCCACCTGACACTTTCCACACAGGTGTGCCGCAGCCGCCAACGATTTAACATTGTTTTACATTCACGGCGGTTTCCACCGTTAACCACAGAAACCTCCATGTGACTCGCGAAACGTGCAAAAAGCAAACTACCGCAACAGTATAATGTAAAAACGAATTCCTTTCTCCATCGATCTCAAATGCAACAAGCTTAACCCTCGAACGGCATATTTCTAATTCGTTTCCATTAATATTATATAAATGATGAAATTTCAGTGTCCCAATCTTCGATCACCGTTCGAGAGTACAAGAACTAATATACTCGTGAACAACGAATCCTCTACACCCCATTTAAATTTCACCTCGAAAGTATCATGGACGGCATGTTTCTGTAATTGTTCGCGTTAAACACAAAAAAAAGAAGAGAGAGAAAATGTAACAAGCGCACGAGATAACAAAACAATAATACGTCATAGAAGACAAAGGGGGAAAGGATTTCTCAGGAAGATTCTGCAACTATCCTCTAAGGTTTCTGATTGCACAAACAGTCTCTAATTAAACCGAGATTCGTGGAAGAAGGTACAAAAAAAAAAATAAAAACTGTTCAAGAATAGTTGAAGATGCAAAAGGGTTGAAATTAGATTTCGGATAATCTATGAAATTTCACCCTTTCCCCTTTTCCTTCGTAGATCTTCGAAAATGAAATGAGTTTTATCCTTCCCGAGAGGAGGAACAGAGAATAATTTCGAGCATAGTGAAGGATTTCTTCATGACTCACCTTCGACCTGAAGAAGATAAAGGAGGTGGTGTTCTGACGGGGGTGGAGGGTAGGAATTGAACGCAAATGAGCGTCTTTCAGGGATGACGTGACACAAACAAAAATCTTCAGCCTGTCCAACGCACAATCTTCCTTCATCAGATGCTGTTTCTTTTAACGTGACAGTTTATTAAACGAAATTCATAATTATAATAATAATAATATTAATAATAATAATAATAATAATAATATTAATAAAATAATAATAATAATAATAAAATAATCATCAATGGAAACTAAAGGATAGACAGAAAAAAGATCACAATTAAAGCGCGGGGGTATCAGACGTTGTAAAGCCACCCACACCCCCCACCCCCCCCCAAAAAACAAAATCTTAGACTCTCGCCCTGTACCCTCCCGTGTTCACATTTCTAAACTCAACGAGAACGAAAGGGAAAGAGAAAAAAAATTCGAGGATCACCAACCATAGATGGTTCTCCTTAATTTTTTTTCCTCTCTCTTTCTTTCTTTATTTGTTCGTTTTTCTCGATCAATGTTTCACCGGAAACATTGTCTAACGTACGCTTCTTCGATCCTCGACGTATCCCCGTTCCTGTCAAATTAAATGATAATACACGCTACCATGATAAGTCGTTGATTTCGTCGAAGAAAGAACGGGGTTGACGTCGAAGAGAGAGAAAAAAACAATGAGAGTTTGAACGCGATTGGAACTCTTCCATGTGAAAAATTTATTAACACTTTGACTGCCACTGTGGAAGTTTGAGAATGAAATATTATATTTTCGATTTAACGTTAACGTTATACAAAATTTTCTTGTAACCATAAATTTCTTCGAATTCAGTTTAACCTTTGGATGATGGAATTCAACCTATGACCTTAAATTCGAAATTTTTAATTATTTTTCAAGTTAAATGTGCAGTACCAGTCATAGGTGATCCAACAGCAGTCAACGTGTTAATTTATACCCTCTCTCGTTCTCTTTTGTTCCCATACACACCTTACCCTTTCATTCATCGTCCCTTTCATTCTCGCATCCACTCGGTTTTATTCTTCGTCTTAGTAACAAACTAATAGTTTTAAACAACTTGAGCACAGGTGAAGCACCGACGTGTCGCGTCTCGCCAACTTCATTTTTTTTTTTTTTTTTCCCAAGCATCTCGATGTACATGTTCGTGTGTGTGTGTATCGGAAGGAACATTCAGGGGAAGAAAATAAAAAGAAACTGAAACGAAACTAAAAAGTGAGAATAGGGTTGTTCTCGGCGAAACGAAAAGGAAAAAATAGTTGATTCTTTCTCCCGAGAAATTGAGCTTGCGAAACGTGACACACACACGGCGCCGTAACAAGAAATTATCTACACAGTACACGCGTTCTCCTACCTTTTCTTCCCTTTTTTTTTTTTTTAATCCTTTTTACCTAAATCGTTTCCGGCGTTCTAAGTACGCCACGAATTTCTTCTATGCACCTATATATTTTCCCTGAGCCGTTCGATCGATCTCGACGATCGAGAACAAGAAGGAAATGAAGGAAGTATAAAAAAAGATGAAAAAAAAAGAAAATAACAGAAAAGGAAAAACAGTGGTGGAAGATCGAAGAAGATCGTCGAAATTGATCGTCGGCTGGGCACCGAAAACCTAAACGCGTTCTTAAGAAACGGAAAAATTATCATAAATATAACTTTGGGCAACGATTGCTTACTTCTCCTCTTTGCTATCTCTTCGTCCTCTCTCAAACACGCACGCTTTTTCACCCTCTTTTCGCTGTTTCACGTTTAGACAAGGTACTTAGAATATCTTCAGTAGAGTCTATATCCTTTCTCTCTTTCTTCCTTACGCACCTACCGGATATTAATCAATTAATTAAAGGGTTAATCCACCTTAATCAGCTGAAAAAATAGAAATTTTGTTTTAGAGAGAGACAATAGGGATGATTATTCACACCCCAAGTTTATTTTATAAATTGCGTCGATAAATTTATTTAAATGTAATGTTAAAAGAAAAATGTCAAGTCTGTTAGAAATGTATGCGGTACTTTTTGAGCTGATCAAGATAATCCAACTCGTTAATCAATTAATCAAATCGATCAATCAATTAATAATAATAATAATATATATAATATTTATTTATTCATTTATTTATATATATATATATTTATATATTTATATAATAACTATATACAAAGAGGTTCTTCATACCGTTCTTTCTCTCTCTCTCTCTCTCTCTTTCTCTCCTCTTCTCTTTATTCTGTGCGCCTTGTGTTTAACCCTTTCAATATCCCTGGTTCCTCTCTAATTCCCTATTATCTCCGTTACTTTCGGGTTTATTATTTCGTGGCACTGTCGTCGATCTATCCTAAAAATTTCTTTCACACGAATTTTGTGCCCTCATGTTAATCTGCGTGTACGTCTCCCTCGATGTGGGTGTCTGTATGTGTAATTCGTATTTAAAAGGTGCGTACGATGCTTAGATTCCTCATCCGCTTAACTTCCACACATTTGGCACACATACAACCGTACCTCGTTCACATGCATCCGTACATACATTCTCTTCGTTAATTATCCCGTTGCGAACGAAACGTCCACTCGACCCAGAAAGGTATGCCCAACCACCCCGTTCCAACTGGTTTCGGGACGGGTGAGCCACCCCCCTTGGAAAATAGGTGTACTTTACGACACGATTTCTCCTGGCTTTGCTATTCTCTCTTACGAACAGTGCTCCTGGGAGGCAGGAATATGAGAAGAACGAAATTACCTGGCGGTCCCATCGATTTTTTCTATTTTCTTTTTTTTTTTCCAAATATCTTTCGCGGGGGTTGCCCGCTCGAAGGGCGAGCTCCGGATCCACTAACAGTCAGAAGCGCGTGAAAAGTTTCATAAAAATCGAATCTTTTAAACGAATAAAAAGAGGACAAATACGAGTTGCTGAATTCTAGAAATAATTAATTTAACACTTTGACTGCCATCGCATTCATTAACATCTCAAATATAATTGAATAATTAATACAATTTTAAGCTTAACTTGAAAATAAATTTAATTTCACTTCGTCTTTCATTATGCCAATCAAAGTGTTAACAGTATTTTCGTCTCGTGTAATTTGAATGCAAAATAAGAAGAATATCTTTGTATTTAAAAAATACGATACATTCACCCAGTGAATGTACACCTGTAACTAACAAATCAAAAGAAAATATCCAAACCCCTTTTCATTCAATTTAAAAAGCCCAAGAAGCAACCCCTTCAAGCTTCGAACAACCCCAAACAGAAACAAGCTCAACACATTGACTACCAATCGGAAAGTTTCATCTATTTAAAAAACATTATTCTAATCCAAAATACTCAATACGAATAGTCAAGGTGTTAAATAAAAAGAAAAGGAAAAAGTATCATCTACAAAACAAAATAGTACACACAGATCTGTCAAACGATTATTGATGGGACCAGCACAGACGAAGAACCAAAAAGGAGAACAGAAAAGGTAGGTCAGGGTTGCGAGAAAAAAAAAAAAAAGGCAATCCAGACAATTAATAAACCTAAAGAGATCCGAGACAGGGAGAAATGCGAAAGGACGAAGAAAGCTTGGAACTTTATGGAACTCGAAGGTTAAGGATAACCCTTGAAAGTAGTTTAGGGAACGTATTTAAGAAATCGATGACCCCAGTGCCAGGATCTTCTTCTTCAATTTTTATATCGATGACTGTTCGATTCGAACAGGTAGCTCGAGGAAACATGATTTTATTGGATAATCGTTCGAACAGGTTACTTTCTAAGCAACTTCGAAACGTGAAAGTTAATCAGCTAAGGAACAGAACGATTGGTTACATCGAGGTTGACCGGTGATCGAGATCAATCCCGCCGATTCACGGCGGACCGATCTAAAGGGGAAGTCCCCGATCGATACGGGCACCGTATCGAACAGACTTTCTAATATTTCGCTCTTCATGCATGGATGCTCGGTAGCATTAAAACGATTTAAAAGCCCGGCCTGATTTGCATTTGACCAGCAAACGGGGATCTACAGGCGCCTCGATCGCTGTTCAGATCGATCATCGACGAGAAACGCGACCGGCCGTTCCCGTCTGGCCCTCTTTTCAAAAAGGCGATCATCGATCTTGATGCAATTAGATTCTAATTAACACACGTTCGATGCTGCATACTTTATAGAATTAATGGCTTTCATAATTGTACGTTCCTTTTTGTACGAGAAAAAGAAGAATAATTTCCAAATAAAAAATAAATTTCATTAACCAATATACAAGTGTTTAATTTTAGTCCGTTTCGTAGGTCTAGGTCACCGGATTGACCCGATTCCACCGTTCGATAGTTAATAATAGAAAAAGAGAAGGCAAACCGAGCTGACGTTAATGTTATACTAACAGTGTATGGTATGAAACCAAGAAGTAGAAGATAATTCGAATAACGTTTCATTAGGGTAATTAATTATCATCTAGCACCATGGTCGATCGATCAGGAACAGTGAAATAGGTATCTAGATGGACCTAGAGTAGGATAGAGGAGTAGTCGAAAGAAATCGAAGGGTAGAGAGGATCAGGAATGGTGATCAACGCACCACCCTTCGAGGCGAGAACCAACGAAGAAGAGGAGTGAGTCGTCGAACGGGACGATCGAAGGGAAGGGGACGCAGAGGGACGAGGAGCTGATGGCAAACACCAGCACAAGAAAAGAAGAAAAAGAAAAAACAAAAAAAAAAAAAAAAAGAAGAAACCGAGGAGAAATAGCGGTTTGCTCCTAATCTCCAAGACCAGCCGGAGTTACTGTTTTTCCTTAAGTCCGCCCAGAAGAGCGTGGCTCTCCATCGTCGCGCTGAGGTTGCTCAGATTGCTGAGATTGCCCAGGTTGCCCAGATTGCCGAGGTTCCCGAGGTTCGGTTGATGCGCGTAGTTCCTGATCTGATGCAGACTGATCAGCTGATTCGGGAACGAGGTGGCGTTCTGATTGCTGGTGGTACCGGACGTGACCCCGGACGAGGACGAGGCAGGCGACGATTTCTGCGTCGAGTTGAACGCTTCGTAGAGGTACGGCCTGGAGGCTGGATGATGGCTCGGTGGATAATGCAGGTGGTTCAACGGGTTCAACGGGTGTTGCATGGAGGAGATCGAGTTTATCGAGATCGATGAGATCGGCGTGAACGCGGAGCTGCTGTTCGGATGATGATTCGGCGCGCCTGGTTGGGGCGTCTGTTGCCTGGAATCGTTCTCTATCGACTCGCCGCGATGACCGTGTCCAGGTAACAGCATCTCCGGGTTCTGATTCTGATGGTAGTCCGTATGGTGATGGGGCAATCGTTCGTGCAGGTCGCTGATCACCGAGTCCGGGCTGACTTTCGGCCAATAGTGATCCTGGTGATGCGCTGTCATCGCGTGTATCGACGGCCTGAGCCCGGTACCGATGATCGGCGGTCTCTTGTCCGTTCTCTCCGCGTGCTTCTGCATGTGCTTGGCCAAGTAAGTTTCCTGGGTGTAACTTTTGCCGCAGTACTGGCAGATGTGCGTCTTAAGGTGCTTCGACTCCTTGTGCTTCGGTATGTGCTCGAGCAGGCTCGGCTCGTCGGAGAAGCACTTGTAGCAGGAGTTACACTTGTACGGCTTGTCGGTCTGGTGGCACCGTGAGTGGCTCTGTAGGTTGCTCAGCTGGCTGAACGCCTTCGTGCAACCTGGATGCCGGCACTTGTACGGTTTGTCGCCGGTGTGCGTGCGGATGTGCTGCTGTAGGTGGCTCAGTTGGGTGAACTTCCGTTGGCAAATCTCGCAGCGGTACGGCTTGATGCCCAGGTGGATCCTTGTGTGCTGGGACAGGTACGAGGAGTTCGCGAACGCCTTCGAGCACTGGGTGCACTTGTACGGCTTCGCCTCGCGCATATGGATCTGCGTGTGGAGCTGGAGGTCCGCCTTGCTACCGAAGATCTGCGATCAAACGAAAAGACCAATGGTCGGTTAAATGGTTCACATTTTGATTGGATAAAATAAATCTTAAGCAGGAATAAACTTGCCGCGTTAAATTAAATCCCTCCTCCGAAACACACTGTATTATAGTATACCGTCGATCTCTCATTCGCTCCTAATCCTTACCTGTCTCGCCCTCTGGCATCACATTAGCCGAGCACGCTGTTGGTATATTTATAAATAAATAAATGTAAACGAGGACTGGCGGTAGCCAGAGCGTATGTGTAAAGAGGGGAGAGGATGACCTTGTCTATCATGGCCTAGCCTGCAGGCATACCTGACTGACTGGCTTTAGCTACCGCATAGAGATCTCCTTCTCTCTTCCCTCTTCCTCTCTTAATTCCTCCTTTCCATGTCTTTCTTTTTTTATTTCCTTCCTCATTCCCTCCTACCCACCCTATCGCTCTTTTTCGTCTTTCGCCTTCCCCGCTACACTTTGCCCCTTTTTGTTTCGTTGCTCGCGGTGTCTCGGTTCTCTTTGTACGGTAGTCCGTTCGTCGGTAGCCTTAAACATCCTCTTTTTCCCTTATTTTTTTCCCCCCCCCCCCTCCCTTCGTTTTCTCTCGTTTTCTGCTCGATCGTTCGTGGAAAAGAAGGATAGCTACGATGAGCCGGGGATGGCTCATTACCGCTTTTACAGGCCGCGATTTCTGCAACGGTATCAATATATATATACACACGACAGGTGTTCTAATTTGTACGATCTAATTGATACCACCCTCCACGGGATAGGAGGAAGCGGTCTCTCGCGTTTCTCGCGTGGATACAATGTTGCGAGACTTCCGGTGATTCCACGAATTCCACCTCGATCCTCTACTATAATTTCAACGTCAATGGACCGGTTCAAGACTGAGTCCTCATTAAGGTCTGGCCACTTTCGAACACGAGTAACAGGTTGAAAATACTTCTCGAGTTTCTTTTTAATACACCAATCTTAAGAAAAAATGAACGATCACGTATGACGGAATGCTAACGTCACGATTAGACTTATCCCGGTAGTTTCTTCTCGGGGAGACGGAGAAACAGAGCAGAGTTGTAAGGCAACAAGTAATTCACTCGGGTCACGAGATTCCATCGTGAAATTACGAGGACGCGTGTTCCGAGTTCCTGGAAAGTCGACCACTAAAACGATCAGGGATGAGAGAGGGTATCGCACTAGGACGACGCGAAGAAGAATCATGGAAACTATCGTGGACACGCGAGGAACGACGGCAAAAGGCGATCGGTCCGCTGGCCGATCGCGGATCGCTCGTGATTGTTACGTAAAACGACAGATTCCTTTCTCGGATAGCACTGTGCCACGCCCCAGGAACACAAGAACCATTACGCGACCTTCGAAGGATAAATGACTACGTCGATGTCGATGCTCTCGTTTCTAATACGAAACAGGTGATCCTGCATAAATAATTAATGGTGGACCTAATAAAAATGAATTATCATCGAACCACCGATAAATTCCGATAAGAAAATTTATCAAAATCCTTCTTCTTTGATGGGAGAAGGTGAATTTTTTAAAAGATGATCAATAATCAATTTTCCATCCCAGCCAGATCGCGATAGAAGTTTCATCAAAGCTAGCATCTATTTACAGCGCGAAGAGAATATTTAATAAATCCAGTAGGCAGGATCGATTGTAAGTATGATTCAGAGCTGGCCTCGATCACCGGAAGTCAACTAGAATACCGGGCAAGTCGAGCGAGAAACATCAAGGCGCGATCGATTTCGATTCTAGAAAATGAACGGAGCAGATCGACAGTACTGCTCTATTCCTACACTCCATCGGCGATAAATATGAATCATTGCGAACTGTCAAAATATCATGGGTTATCATAAAACCATAAGGTCGGAAGGCTATCAAAGGTTACGAAAGAGAAGAATCTTAAAGAAGTATCCCGTTAGTTGTTTCGCGATTCTCGCGAGATCTTCTTTGATTCTCGAGCAGCTAGTTTCGACCTCGACGTCCGGCGATCCTTTTACTCGTGATTTATTCGGCGATCGTTGTTGCGTGCGTCTTCAACAGCTGACTCGCCGCGTCCTTTAACGGTCTGGGACCAGTGTATTTTTCTTTTTCTTTTTTTTTTTTTTTTTTATTTCCTCCTTTCGAAACGCGTCCTTGCTGGTGTCAAGTTCGCACGTCGGGGCCCACGTAACGCGATCGTTCTTCTGTTCGCGCGCTGTTTCGCCTCTCTCTTTTCGGGGTCTGACCAACGACGATTAATCGACAGGATTAAAGCCGCGTTCAGATTAGTCCGGGTTACTTGGGAATTCGGGTACGTACGAGTCGAGTAACTTAACTTCGAGTGGCTTGAATTCGAACGTTCAGGTAGATTTTCAGACACGCGACGAGTCCGACGCGAATTCATGACATAAAAGTATCGCGAAATAGGACGTATGATAGATTGATTTAAAGCTTAAGATTTAATGAAGATGGTGGTATAAAGGTTTCATCGATATTCTTAATAGAAAATGATTGGTACTTCGTTGAAGTAAACAACTGTTAAGTTGTACGTTGGTTGGTTTCGAGGAATCACCAGCCATTTTGTATTATGAATCTTGATGAAACGCTTAGGTAGTCGTATTCCTTGAGCTTCAAGCTTTAATTTCATATGCCATAAGTGCTATTTCCAGATACTTTTATGTGATGAAATCTCGTTAGACTTTGTACGTTCGAAATCACAGACGACACGAACAGGAAGCTATTCAAAATTGTGTATGTTTCGACTGAAGTAAAATAACAGGTTCATGGGTTGTTAAATTACTTGGATTCAAGTAATTCGACTAATCTGAACGAGGCTTAAGGAATCGAGCAGGAAACCTGGCTCGTTGCAGAGAATCACGCGGAATGTCGATTAAAAGCTGCTCAACGCGTTGATTACGCCGTCGAAAAAAAAAAAATAAAAAGAATGACCCTTCACTTCCTTAGACGCGAATGGACAAATTGATTTGTTTGATGATGCCTCTTTTGTTCATGAAAATGAGAATTCTCTCCTGATTACCTTCCTCTTTTTTATTATTATTCCAAATTTCTACGTTTCCGTCGCCTTTTTTACTCCCGTAGCACATTAATTTCATTTGAAATCACTTTAATCGGTCATTTAATCATTGAAGTGAGAGAATATTTTGACGATTTTACGAGCTTGTAATAAACATTACAAAAGATTGATTAGAATGATAATGACAAATTGGCGTGACCACTTTTCGGGGATATCCACGTAGCAATGACAACTCTTATAGATGAAGATATTGGAAGAAAAAAAAAAGAGCCGGTTAATTTATGCGTAAATAAAATTGTTGATGAGGAGGCGCACCTTTTGCACGAAATGTTTCTTTTCATGCGAATTATTACGTTGTCGAGGATGAGTGATTAGTAGATCCCAAGGATCTCCTCGTAAATAATTTCGACTGATTTCTCGATGCAAATTACACCACGTCACTGGTCACAAATTAACGCGTTTAACCCCTTCGGACGGCGGACCATGGAGAGAGCCCCAATTTCATATTATTCTCATTTTCGAAATTTTATACTGTTACTTTGAAAATTTGAATATATTTAACTTTAGGTTAATACTCTTGGATATATTTGATAAACTTTAGAAAAATTCGGGGATCACCTTCGAAGATTTTACGGCAACGGAAGATTCTGCGATCGTTCGGACAAGTGGGTAATGAAAAATCAAAAATGGTAAATTCCGAAATCGCGCAACTATGCGAGAAATTAACACTTCTTTAATTGCGAAACGGTCGTGTCGGACTTTGCTGGCCTCGAGGCTAACTTGTACGGTGTGTTACTTCTGTAATTCTCTGATTAATCGACCGCGATTTGCTCGCACGACGTTTAAGGAACCGAGAAAATCACGTTCTCGGTAATTTCTCGGCATAACGTTGCTCTTGATGACTGTTAGGGAGCTTGATCGATCGACTCTGGAAAGTAGAAATTCTTTTTCATTTTTTTTTTTTTTTTTTTTTTCTTGCCCCCTTCCTCGTCAAGTTATTCCATTCGAGACGAAGTTCACTGGCAAACGTTGATGCATGGATTTAAAGTTTGGCAAAACGAGCACGGAATAATTGGGAAGAAACCGGTCGCCTCGTAAAATCTCTGCTTCAATTTCTTCGAATCGTTGTTAATTAAATTCCTCTTTTATTAATTGTTCGATAAGAATATTATTTCAAGTGTTGATGAAGTACCAAAATTATTTACACATGCTCCATTGGAAAAGTTCAAAACGCCAAAGTGGTTTAAGTTTCATAATGCTAATTGCAATTAAGGCCTAACATATTACTTCTAGAAACTCAACAAGTCCGAAAATCTCAGTTATTCATGAATAATTCATAGGAAGCATTAAACACGGTCTGGCTGATAATGTTCACGATAATTATTAAGAAAATTTTAATAACGATGGCGTACAAACACTCTCAAGAGGAAAATATTTACCCAAATAATAACCCTAAATGCTTGAAAAGCTTGAAAATGAAAAAAATCTCAAAAATATTTCCCGACGTTCAGACATTTCCGAGATTAATACCGAGAATCAAAAGGTCACCAAAATTCCTGCAATCTGTGTCATCCATTAGTCGTCAGGAATTAAACGCTTTGATAAACAAAGAAAAATGCAATCTCTAAAACTTCTCGAATTAAGCACACTACCTATTTTTATATGGGGCTCTCTCCATGGTCCGCCGTCCGAGTGTTAATAGACCGTATGTGAAATTAATTATTTACGACGAGAATCTTATTATTTACCTGCCTACTCGTTTCCAAATTTATTGCACCAAAAACGCATCAATTTAATTATAATTTTAGAAAAAACAAAATTCATATTTTTCATTTATGAACTTTAGGACAATTCTACGTTATTGCATCCTCGAATGAGGAATTTCTTTGAATGTTAGACCTGGGTTAGATAGCTAAAGGAACCAAGTAGCTAGAGTAGATCTACCAGCCTTCCTTTTAAATAAAATAT